GTGAACACACACCTCAATACTCAAGACCAGTAAACTCCTAAAACTTCAGCTTTTATAGAGGTAGTCACACTTGCTGATGATCAAGAGCATTTGATTAGCAGCACCTAGCTACCACTTAGCCTCTTCATACTGTACTTATGGAAGCAGTAAGGGTGTACTTAGTTTTTCACACATAGCTTCTCCATTTTGGCTTTCCTTTTGTAGAATAAATGATGACATGATATAATATGTCATGTGTTGTTGTTCATCTGAGGTTGTATTTACCTACTTTTGAGAACTGCTAAGGACCAGATGATTTTTATTATGTCCTGATACATAAAACCATAGAACTCAAAGAGGGTGTACTTTCTTTTTCACATGAAGATGATTTTTATTATGTCCTGATACATAAAACCATAGAACTCAAAGAGGGTGTACTTTCTTTTTCACATGATTGTATTTGTCATCTTTATAGAGCTTCCTTAACATTTAAAGCATTAAGGGTAATATCTCTTGGCTGTGTTTGCATTTTGCACCTGAGCATGGTAGCCTCAATGGTTGTCTATAGCTTTAAGATGAAAAACAAGGTCTTAGGCAGACAAGAGTGGAAGGCATCTGAGTTTGACATTGTTGGAAGATGTTGAATTAAACAGGCTTAGTCTGGTCTATCAGGGCAGGTTTTAAACAGCTTCTGTTAGAACAATTGCTCCTGTCTTCATCCTTAACCAGAAAACTGACTTAGGTTTGTCTTTATGTATGTATGTATATGTATATGTATATGTATATGTATATGTATATGTATATGTATATGTATATGTATATGTATATGTATATGTATATGTATATGTATATGTATATGTATATGTATATGTATATGTATATGTATATGTATATGTATATGTATATGTATATGTATATGTATATGTATATGTATATGTATATGTATATGTATATGTATATGTATATGTATATGTATATGTATATGTATATGTATATGTATATATATAAATATATAAATTACCAAGGGGAAATTTGATATCTGTTCTTGAAATGTGATCCATTGCCACAGTTCAAGAGCTATACAGTTTCTTCTCTGGTGCTTATTCTAAATAAAGCTTTTCATTTCACCTGCCAGGTAGCTGCCCTGTATTCAAATCCTCTTGGGTGTGACCTTTAGAGTCATGGTCTTATAGCCAACTGTTCCTTTTCACTGGGCCATTCAGTCCTGGCTTCTTAAGCCATTCTGTAACAGGTCTTGAAAGCTTCCATTCTCAGCAGAAACCAAAAAGTTTCTGAAAGGCAGATTCATAGTAAAGCTGCTGAGCTGGTTTCCTTACAGATGCGGGGCTGTTAAGACTTGTGCTTAATAGGGATTAAGGAATGGCTGAGTAATTATCCCTATTTAACCATTTTCAAAGCCTTATCAGTCTGTTACAACAAAACAATGAAAAATCATGAAGCACCTTTTAGACTAAAATCTTTTACAGCATAAGCTTTCATGGAATGTAGTCTGTGATTGCAGTTCACCTCTTTCACCAGATGCATTAAATGTTGTGCTGAGTCATAACATGCAGTTAGAGGGATTATCAACTGTGAGGCCAAAGAGAAAATATGTGCATGGCTAATGAAAGCATACAGTTGTGGTATGGCAGTACAGATATTTGTCCATTAGCCATGCTTATTGTGGCCATTTTGGTACATAGGAACTTCCAAGCCATTAGCTGAGCTATAATTCATCCAGAGGTTTAGTTTTGTCTCTTGTGGCCTGACATGCAATAATTGGATCACTGTTATAATCCAGCAGCTATTTTATGAATGATCCCTATATTTTTCTTAACTTAATCTTGAGATGGTCAGACCACAGAGCATATGCATCCCCCATTACCCCTTTTCTGTTCCCCCCCATTCCTTTTTTGCTTTGTGTTTTGAGAGATTTGGGGAGGAGCTTAAACCCCTCACGGAGGGGTTTACATAGCAAAAAAGATGTCAAACCTCAAGGTGTAGATTTTGACCCGTAATCCTTCAGTTTCAGATAGTTGGACCTGCCTATTCCAGTGATGGCATTACGCTCTGCTCCCCTAGGGAGCCAAAGCAATTAAGATGTGATCCTCCAACTGCAAGAAAAAATTTCACTGAGTCAAATTCATTGTATATAACTGTTGCTTTCGTGAAGAACAAAAGATTCTAGGAGTGATTCTTTATAATTTCCTTTTTTAAGCAAGCAGTAAATTATCATTGGAGCTTCTTATAAACACTTAAACATCAAATTGATGTTAGATAAACATAGGAACACATCCCGCAGAAATTGCTGTCTGTCTTCCCCACTTCATTGTTGTTTTCCAGGAAGATAGGCAGTTCTATTTCATTTTCTTTTGTCCTATATTCTCTGTGGTTTTATTGCAATTTAGTTGTGCTTCTCAGCATCTGTTTTCTCTGTTTAACAGAGCAGTTTTGAGGGATTGTATGTGAACTGAATACTTACATATACAAAGATTTGTTTTTCAAAACAAACCTATGGTTTTCTGTTTTGCCCTTTTTCTCTTCCTTCAGCTATTTAGACAGAATCTCAGAGTTTTGGCTGCTAATTTTATCTATTTCAGACTTATCCTCTGCTATCCCATTTAGCATTCATGTAGATTGTTTAAAATAAAACATCACTAACTTCTACAATGACCAGATATGTTAAGCTCATCAGCTGTTAAGTCACATCCGGATGAAAAGATGTGTGTATCTTTATGACATAGAAGTATATAAATTTACACATTTTGTCTAACTTGTCTTTGCTAAGGGAAATTAATGTGCGGCATAACTTCTTCTTTTCCAGGTGGTCAGATAGTATCCTCAAAACCTTTTGCACCATTAAACTTTAGAATAAACAGTCGAAACTTGAGTGGTAAGATTTGCCTCTTTCTTTTTGTGTATGTTGTTGTGTTTTAAGTTGCACATTGAGAAGCAAAACAATATGCACAATTATGATGAATTTTTAAAAAGCTGTTTAGTGTCGTATGTTAACTTTAGTGCAGGGGAAGGCAATTTGATGCCATCTAGGTATTTTGGACCATAAGCATGTTTGCAAAATTTGCTCCTCCCTCCTTCCCCAGTGAACCTATCCTAAACTTCATGTGTTTATGAGTGAGGTCTGAAGGAGGCTTTTATATACCTGGACCTGAACACAAGAAAAAGCTTCTGGGTAATTAGGAATAAAGCAAAGTTCCTCACTGTGTGGAAGTTCAGGTGAACACAAATGCAAACCCCCTTCCTGTTGAACGCAGAGGTGTGAGGGGACTGGGATATGGGGGTAGGGCTTGCATGAGCACCCCTGGGTCCTCTGTCCTCACTTTCTGTCTTCACACGGACCATGTGGTTGCCCACATAGGGTTTTGCTGCATCTAGATTTGTATACAGCTGGTTGTAAGCTTGTCATCTCCCTCCAGTGCTTCTACTCCAACATAGCAGAGCTAACAATTCCCAGCTTGTGATGGTGGTTTTGCTGCAATGACCTAACATAGGTGCTTTTACGGAATCAATTACAGTAGAAAGCTTCCTAATTTTGCTCGCCTTTTCTTTCTTTCAAAGATATTGGCACTATAATGAGAGTTGTAGAATTGTCACCACTGAAAGGATCTGTCTCATGGACCGGGAAACCAGTTTCTTACTACCTGCATACTATTGATCGAACCATAGTGAGTATTAGTACAGGGCAGTGGGTATAAGTCCATCATGTAGTGGAATGGATACTTTTCAGTATGGCCATTTGTCATCCCTGCTATGCAAGCTGCATTGAATACCAGTCAACTTCCTAGTGCTATTCAGGATACTGGTTATTATCTATAAAGTCATCCATGGCTAGTGCCTGCTTATTTGAGGGACCATCTATCTCCAATTCTGTCTGTCTGCCTGGCATGTTCCAGCAGAACAGGTGCCATGGCAAGTTTTGTTTTGTAAGGTAATATTACCATGGTACCTAACTGAATTAAAGATTTTATAATTTACAGTCCAAGAAGGCTAAATACCTTTTAAAAATGTAAAAACCCTTTGATCTAAATACATCTGATTGGATTAGTATGAAATTTTAATGTTGTTTCCATACAAATAGTCTTTAGAAAGCTGGAAAAATATGTATGGAGGAGAGGGGATCTTAATTTCTAGGGCAGTGTCCACTGTTTTCTACCTCTTTGGGGAAATGCATTAAAAACCTCTAAAATGTTTCTTCTGATACCCATTTGTCATTTTTTCATTTTAGCTTGAAAACTACTTCTCTAGTCTCAAAAATCCAAAACTCAGGGTAAGCAATCATTATTGACAACAAACTTTGTTCCTATGAAGAAAAAAATAATAAAAGCATTAAATATTATTCCTTCTGACTTTGGAAGCTTTCGTTTTCCTGTAAGATAACAAAGTAGACACGGCTCTTCTGTTTCCATGGAATTACATAAAATTGTGTTCCTGTTACAGTTCGGTGATGGCACAGAAAAAACAGCAGAGTATGGAGCTAGGCATGCTTTGAATACTAGTACATAGCAGATATGTTTTTACTATTATGACTATTCATTTTAAAAGCAGGAGGAAAGATAAAGGTGCCTTTAAACCTTTAGAAGTAATGATACATAGGAAAGTATTATTTATTTAACTTACATGTAAGGCATCTACAATGGGTGAGTACAGGTGTATGTAGTTCCTTAGACAATACTAAGATGTTTTGGATTCAGAAGTTCAGGACTGTCACTTTCAATGGAGTCTGGGTACAGATTAGCAACTAATGTATTGGATGCAGGATCACCAGCATGTAATTTAATTTAACTTTCTGTTCTAAAGATACTTGAATAGCAGTAAGAGGTAATAAGAGCCCTTGCTCTGGATCAGGATTTCTCAACCTCAGCAACTTTAAGATGTGTGGACTTCAACTCCCAGAATTCCCTAGCCAGCATGCTGGCTAGGGGATTTTGGGAGTTTGAGTCCAAACATCTTAAAGTTTCTGAGGGTGAGAAAT